GCTCTAGACAGTTTTAACCATGAATGATTCAAATCTGTTCAATCGCAGTGGCTCTCTGTCCGTAATTTCAACCCGCTGCGGTTTGTATACGCTTCAATTTGGCGCCCGGCAGATGTCTGCCACTGTCCCCACCCGAGCTCGTGCTCTGCATAGCCTCGACACGCCCTCTTTTCACCTCCAGCTCAAAAGGCCCGATTGGAGTATGGCGTTTTCATATGCATCTCTGACTGATGAGTACCAGAATTGTATCATGGTATTCACCCCCCCCCCCCCCTCCCCCCATCATTGACACCTGCAGCCGTTTTCGCTCCTTGCGCCTGCGCAGCCCCACTTCAGGCGACTGATGGAACCCATGACGGGATGCATCGCCTTCTGGGCTTTTATGATGCTATGATTTTTACGTACACTGCTTCACTCATTCAAAACGGATAAGTAGTAATTCCTTTTTGATGATATTGAATGTCTAGCTTTTTCAAGCAAAACACTGTTTATTTCAAAAGGAGTTTAAAACTTTACCCCCCCCCCGCTGTAATACGTTATTCCTCAAAGTGGATAATGACTTGATTTCAGCACGGCAGAGATGTGCAAGCACGTGGCGCGAACAGATAGCAAAAGACGGATACGTGAATCAAGGGCATAGTTCAATTCACAACGTATATTTTTCAAAGGCAGTTCACGTCATCTGATAATCTGTCATCTAACCCTCCAACTGGCGGGATTTTGCGCCAACTGTGCACTGGCGGCGCAGGCATCTGACTGTTTTGTGGTCGTTTTTTTATTTTTTGTTTTGGTGGGGGGGGGGGGGCTCCGGTAACATACGGAGGCTTGGCTTAACTAGAACTATCATGGTGAAGTGCTATGGAAGTCGATACGAGAATAAAATATAATAGATGTGACACGATAGTAAGATCCCTGTGCCACCGCAATGGTTGCATGAATTTGGACTCTGTTGCACAGAGGTGACCGGGTACAATGTAATACGACTGCAATATGACTGTTTAATTGGGTTGAGTTGTTTTATTTGGTCGCTAAACCCGCCACTGTAACCTTTCATGAATGCCACGCCAAGTAAGTTAAAGACACTACGGGACACACATATATACCTGAAAGTGCTCAAGCTAAAAAGCACACCTTAATGCCAAAACACAAACACACTCATATACACACCATTTATGTACATGTATGCATGTTTTATAAAAAAAGATTCCAGGGAAGTCAGCATTGATGAGGTTTTTTGAAGGTTTTTCGACCTGTTCATGCCTTTAACTTGCTGTCCGCGCTCATAAAGCTGTCACTGAAGCTCATGTCAAGATGAAATACAGATCACAGGCATAGTCTTATGGTGGTTGACGCATTGGGCTACGAAATCGTGGTCAAGACGCGCACAAAAACTAAACACAACACCCACCTGAAAGTCAAATGCCAAACAACAACACAACCGTCATCATGTGCCTTAAAAAGAGACGTAGACTCATCGCTCCAGAAGCGACACGCATCTGTGAGTGAAACCCTCTTGACAGACAAACGCGCGTGGGGCCCTCAATCTGGGTGGGGGGCCACAGTTAGGGCGCAATGCATCGAATCGCTGTGTGGCTTGCGTGCCGCTGATGAATGCTGGTGCCTGTCAAAGATGAGGTTGTGCTACGCGCAGCTGGTTGTCTACATTGCAGTACGCATGTAATGCATTTCTGTTATACCTGAATTACAAATACTGACGTCGTCAGGCATTAAATCCATAGTGAATTGTCACATAACAGTTTTAATGTTGAGAGCATGTGATTGCATTGTTTGGTCCAAAGCATTTACGGCAGAAAACTTACCATGCAGGATGACACGTTAAATACTATAACTTTTACCAGGCCATGCAATATTAGTCTGCATCTTCGTTTTATCATGAGCTTAAGTGTCATCTTAAAAGAGCACCGACAGGGAGTTAAATGCTTAATCAATCTGATCGAAAAGACATTAAACAAATCACCAATGTTCAGCTTGCATATATATATATATATATATATATATATATATATATATATATATATATATATATGAATATATATATATACATATATGAATATGCATATATATATATATATATATATATATATATATACAAGCTGAACATTGGTGATTTGTTTAATGTCTCTTCGATCAGATTGATTAAGCATTTAACTCCCTGTTGGTGCTCTTATTTATATATATATATATATATATATATATATAAGCTTTCTCTATTTCTCTTTAACATCGGCACAGGTTATTATTAGGTTTTTCTGCAGCTGCTGCAGTTCTCCCCTGTTTGTATTTCCTCTCTCGCGTTCCTCTATTTGTCTTTGAGACTTAAAAGTGACTCGCCGATGTGTGACGTCCATTGTTTGCTCTGATATCTCGGATTATGCATGTAGGGAGTTAGGTATTGACAAGTTCAAGTTCGATTGGCAACTGGTGCGTAGTCTAAATTACGTGGTTGACTTTTATGGGAGAATTCAAAGTTAAACGGCAAAACACGTGCTTAGAGGTAAGGACCATCTGTAATGACGATAATAATGTCTCTAAGTTAGATGAAAAGTGGCTGAAGGTTTTTTTTTTGGACCACGAGCAAATGCTTTGATCGCGGCAGCCTCCAGAACATAAAGCCTCCTTCTGTTTGATGATGCTATTTTGATGCTCGTGCTCATTGTTAGATCGTTTAGGGTGATATTCCAGCTGTGGTTTTTTGGAGCACAGTCAGCCAAAAGCATCGTCAACCGCCTAGGATGTGGTGGCATATATAATAAAAAGTGCGCTTTATAAGCTTATAGTCTCCTTTGTCACAATAAAACTGGTAAACTACGTAGGTGCATTTCAAGGAGTCGGATTTGACCGTGAGGTCATTTCACACAAGATATTGAGTAACCTTCCTGCTGTTGTTACAGCTGATCAGTGTTATCTCCTCATCCTGGCTGACTGACTTTATGTCGACAGACATTATTTTCTTTAGGACTCGCTTGTCTGTATTGTAGCTATCAGACAGCAACAAGTAATAACAAAAACAATTTTTATATTTATCGATATACATACATGCGTATAATGCGAAGTTGAGAGATGACATCGTGACAAATACAGACTAACTAAAATATGTAAAGTACCATGTTCACAGCTACGTCCTCTGCCACACCGTTTTCACGCCCGCGTTATTAGACAGGGACTTATTTGATGCCATATCTGAAATGCCCCGAAAATGGGATACACAAAAGTGAATCCCATGTTTTGTTGTGGGAGCTATCAAAGCAGCCGCAAATGTTTACATTGCAATTTGTTATGTCTCACCACTTGGTAACAACTCGGCACTTCGCATGCGCCTTGGTGATGCCTTGGTCCATGAGACCGGATACACGAACGTAATGATAAGGTGGTGCATGACTCCGGAATAAAAAAAAGCTTTGGAGTATTGTTGATTGGCTATTTGGATGCATCTGAAGACAGACGACCGGTTTATCCCATGTTAATTTTTTCCGTGCATCTCAGACTTCGCGTCAGATAAGAGTTATATCTGGTAATGAAAGCACAGCACAGGGCTACTGTGTCTCAAGTATGTTGTGACATCCGCGTTAGACGGATGACCGTCGAACCATTCAGTGGTGATTTATGTGTACCATTGAAAGGTGAGAGGGAGTGTTTCACTGATCTCGTGGTACGGCTATATTTTACTGCATACAAACTCCCTCTTGTTTGCCCCTGTTAAATGTTCCAAAGTCGCAATCGATTGGCCTTATTCGTTCCGTGTCCATGACCGTAAGCACGCTCGAAAGTGCCCGAACGTCGATATGCTGTTGGGCTTCCCTTGTTCTCAATACTCAGCACGGATCGCATTATGTAGGTCACTTCTAGACTATGTGCATACATCCACGACAGTTCACGCATCATGTCGGCTTCGTGGACGTGTTCCGCGTTTTACGTGCTTTTTTCGCCCACTGTTGATATGAGCGCATAGACTGATACCTTCTGGGCAGGACTGTGCTTAGTTGCACGGCATGCACGATATATAGCGAAATGGCGGATCGGTACCGACAAGACAAGAGAGATCACGGTTAGATGATGGTGTGTGGTGTGAAAACATACACGGTTAGATGATGGTGTGTGGTGTGAAAACATACACGGTTAGATGATGGTGTGTGGTGTGAAAACATACATTGCATGATTGAGCGCCAGAACCATCCCGGTATTCCTCGACACAACGTAACTGGCGCGGTCATGCAATAAAAGATAATCATCAGTGATGGAAATTGTTGTCTCTGATTTTCTGATGCTGGTGCCGGCGGGCCTTTAGTTAACTGGAGGCGAACCTCTCAGTGTAGGATGCGTACCTAGCCCCATCAACTGGCTCTTGAACACCTTGGTCTTGACATCATCCGCGCGTGAAATGTTTTCGACTGTTCGGGTATGTGTGCAAGGCTGGTCGTCCCGTCTCTGTTCTGTTCGAGACACGCCCGACAACTTCTCCTTTTCCGCGTACGAGTGAGATGCCTCCTAAGTGGGCCTCTACGTCCGCTGGCCCCGGCTGCCAGTCTCAAAACGGCCGCGTTGATTGCCTCAGATGGCATGGAAAGGCCAGCTGGTCACTGGCCAAGGAGGTACGAGCCTGTCCGCCGGCGGCCGTGCCAGTGCCTTTACACGGCATGGTTATCTATTTCGTTTTGCTTGGCAAACACGTCATGCCGATACCGCCAAGTGCCGACCAACTGAACTGCGCTTGGAGACGACGCATCAGTTTTTCAATTACATGCCGCATTTGTTGAAGCCGCAGAGACCTCAGTAGACATGGAAAGCAGCCAGGAACAGCATTGTACATTTTCCCTGTCTTCAGTCTTTACTTTTTAATAGTCTTTGCTTGCCAGTTCAAATAGCAATGTGGTGCTGCGAGGTGCATGTGCCATGGATACCGCGCTCGCTCAGGCCCTCTCAGGCACGTATGGTTCGACCCAATCCTCTTCGCGCCCCATATCTGAGTAACAGCGCTGGATTCATCCAAATGATGCATATATTCTTGCGTTATGCACATGACCACGCGATAACACAACACACCAAACCTGCACAATCGATGAAAGAAACATACGCACAGCTCTCGAGTGGCAAAGTCATGGGCTGATCGCCAACGTCCGTGTTGTGGCTGATCGGCGGCGACGAGTGGGTGGTGAAAACAGCAAACGGGAGCAGAAAGCTGGCGCAGGAAGGCTTTGACGGCTATACAGGCAAGAGGGGAACTACGGAGCCTCAGCAGGCGCATCCTCTTCAGCAGCAGCGGCAGGCTCGTCAGCAGCAGGGGCAGGTTCGTCAGCAGCAGGGGCAGGCTCATCAGCAGCAGGGGCAGGCTCGTCAGCAGCAGGGGCAGGCTCGTCAGCAGCAGGGGCAGGCTCATCAGCAGCAGGGGCAGACTCGTCAGCAGCAGGGGCAGGCTCGTCAGCAGCAGGGGCAGGCTCGTCAGCAGCAGGGGCAGGCTCGTCAGCAGCAGGGGCGGCCTCCTCAGCAGCAGGAGCAGGCTCGTCAGCAGCAGGAGCGACCTCCACGGCAGGGGCGACCTCCACGGCAGGGGCGACCTCCTCAACAGCAGGGGCAGGCTCGTCAGCAGCAGGGGCGACCTCCTCAGCAGCAGGGGCAAGCTCGTCAGCAGCAGGGGCGACCTCCTCAGCAGCAGGGGCAGGCTCGTCAGCAGCAGGGGCGACCTCCTCAGCAGCAGGGGCGACCTCCACGGCAGGGGCGACCTCCTCAGCAGCAGGGGCAGGCTCGTCAGCAGCAGGGGCGACCTCCTCAACAGCAGGGGCTGGCTCGTCAGCAGCAGGGGCGACCTCCTCGGCAGCAGGGGCGACCTCCTCAGCAGCAAGGGCAGGCTCGTCAGCAGCAGGGGCGACCTCCACGGCGGGGGCGACCTCCTCAGGAGCAGCGGCAGCCTCCTCAGCAGCAGGGGCGGGCTCGTCAGCAGCAGGGGCAGGAGCGGCCTGGTCGGCTGACGGAAGCTCTTCCTGGACCAACTCCTCCACCACGGGCTCGGACGCCTGAGGGGCTCCGAAGCGGGGACCGACCGACAGCGGCGGCGCCGGGGGGACGAAGGTGTCGACGTTCCTGACCAGTTCGGCCACGTAGGCAGGCGGCTGGGGAATGGCATCGCCTGTCGGCTGGAAGCCATTTTCGTCCGCCACCCAGCTGATGGTCACCCGCCGGCCGTCGGGATCCTGATACGAGTAGCTGCCGGACATGACGGTGCCGACGCCGTCACCGATACGCTTCGGCCCACCGTTGGCCTCAACCGTCGTGCCGTCGCTGGAGGCGAAGTCGAAGCTGAAGTTGCCCTCATCGTCGGTGTCGAAGTTCTGGCTCGTGATCTCGACGTTGGGAACGGAGGTGCGCGGGGACGCAGCCACGCGAGGCGCCGCCACATCCGGCACCGGGTCCGCCTCAATGGCGTCCGAGCCTTCGATGGCGTCCTGCGGGAAGGCCGCGGCACAGCAGAGCAGGGAGACGAGCACCAGGCACCTCATGATGGCGGGCTGCTGGCGGCGGTGTGATGCAGGTGGCGGGATCAGGCAGTCTGATGCCCAGGCCGGCAGGCGGGCGGCTTTTATACGGCTCGGCGCGCTGGCCGTCGGGACTTATCTGCCGCCGCCAGGGCGCCCCGGCGATTTTTCTGCCGGGCGGCCGGGCGGTGTTGCAACGCCCCGAATGCCGCCGCGCTCATCCCGGCTGACGGTCTGGCCGCCAAGAGTTGTCGCGTCCGGGGCCCCGATCGCGTCGCCCGCGGGAAAGCCGAGCACGTGGTCCACAAGCAGTCGGAAGCGCATTCGGCTCGAGTTCCGGAGTCACGCAGTGCTCGCGTTGTCCCTGATGGTGAGTGCGGGGTAATCGGTGTCACGAGCCTGACGCGGACATCAGTCCCGGTTCTTAAACGCTTTTTACAAGGGATCGAGGTGTTTTACACTGAGAACTGGAGCTCCGTTGACATGGTCCATGACGACGTGACGCCCTTAATCGTGTTTGCTCAAAGTTGTTTTGATTTTTTAAAAACATTCCCAAGCTTCCTAAGAGAATACTGGGTCACTTTTTTAAGAAAGTCCTGGCCCTTCAGTGTGTGCGCACACGAGCCGGTGTATATGCTACAAATAACACACATCGGAAGTGGCGGCGCGCAACGTAGCAACACTGACATCGACGCTCATTTAAAGTGCTGCTTGAAAGTTCGCGATGTTTAGGTTTTGTATTAGTCACCGTTTTATGAGATTAGTGGCATCATAGTCACGTCAACAGCTTCACTAATCCCAGATTGTGTGACGAATTTTTGGCCTACTTCGACTCGCATTGTCGTTCGTCTTGTTTCGAGAGTGGCACGATTGTACAACCATTCCGTTTATCATGCTAACAGAGGTTATCAGTCAATGTCGAATTGTGGCACGATCAACCCACAATTGAAGATTTTATGACACCTGATGCTAGCCATTTCCGCAAAATTAGTTTGAGAAGAGGACGCAGAGGAAAGGAAAATGACGCAACCTAACTTCCAAACGCCAGCGAATGGGATTCCTCCCGGGTTCGACCCACTCTCTCCACAAAGTTGAAGGGGGGAGGGGCGGCTCCCCCCCCCCCCCAACTGAATAAGAAGCTGCATCCCTGTGTTCGGCATTGTGAATTAAATGTTCTTTTGCCGAGCTGTCAACTTTCAATATACCAGGAGCTGCGGGTAACACGTGCCTGAGTGCCCACTTGAATACGACAAGCACGGGGATTAATTTGACCCCCTCAGATATCAAGAACTAGCGGAGTTAGAGACGACAAACTCACAGGGTGAGTAAGGCTGTATGTAAACTCACTTGTGTCGAGATTTTCAGTTCTTAGCTCATGACCTTCGGGTCACGTAAGGCAAAACAAGGTCAAACTCCAGATTGGTGTCCAAAGTGCCACCCGACCCCCTCATGCAAACGCCTAGAACTTAGATACCTGCCCTAGGCAAAAGGGTCACTGGTGTTCATTTCAAGTCAACGACTTTGTCTGATCTTTAGAAGGTAATGGTGACTAAAATACCACGGCATTTGTTTGATTTTGCATTTTAATAAGCGTGAAGTCTTACGCCAGGCGGTATGCTCCTCCCAAAAATAGAATGCTAAGGTGGGTTATTCGAGGTCAGTGACTTACACTGACCTTAAAGGAGCCCATGGAAGATGTTTGTTGTGGTAATTTGTTATCAATGAATCACAATGAGCTCCAGAAGCTAACCCACACAGCAAGGTCTCGAGTGTAAGATCATATTGAAAAAGGTGCTCTTGAAAGCAGCCATTTGCCATGTGTATTGCTGGATACAATGCAAAATGCGGGATATAAGTGTTGCATGCATGCCACACCAACTCCAGCTATCAAAAGCAAGCATGTGTGATAGATTGGAGTTAAGGTCATGCACTAATAATATACATATGTAGGTAATCTGATGAGATCCATAGCAGTAGCGACATGAGACGAGGGAAGTGGTGAGTACTTGTAATGCAATACCTTTGAGGACAATGAAGCAGAAGGCCAATTCGACTTGCTCAGCTTTAAAACACGCCCGGGCGGCCAGCTGGATACCCACGGCTCGGGTGGGGGTGGGGGGTGGGGGTTAAGTTGGAACCCCTGAGGTCTCAGGAGCTAAGGGAGCTAGGAATACCAAACTCACAGGGTGAGCTGATCTGTACGTGAACTAACGTAGGTCAAAGTTTGAGGTTCCTAAACCATGACCAATATGACATAGGTCAATTCCAGACTGGTCTTCAAAGGACCCCTAGAACCTAGATAACTATACTAAGCAAAAGTGCACATGCTCATCTCAGGTCAGTGACATTGTTTGACCTTTTGAAGGTCATGGTGACCAAAATCCCACAGGACCACGCTGAGTTTTGCATTTGGATAAGCTACAAATATAACGCTACGCAGTATGTTCTAAAAACAAAATGTTGACCTGGGTCATTCTAAGTCAGTGACCTATTCCGACTTTTAAGAAGTCTAAAGAAGGTGTATAGTGCGGTTTTTGTTATCAATAAATGCGAAATGCGCACCAGGAACTACCCAATACAGCAAGCGCTAGAGTAATAAAACAGGTTGATTTTGACCTTGGTCTGGCCGTCATGCCTGGCCTTAGGTCAATTTAATTTGTTCATTCAATTGTTGTGTTGCCTGAGAAAGTATTTCAGAGATGTATGACGTCGTTTAACACTCCGTTGTCAGATCAGGTTGAACGATTCCCTAGAAACTGACTTTGCTGAAACTATGACCTGACTTTGACCTGCCATAGGTCAGCGACCTTACAAGGCGCATCTAAATTTGAGGTGCCTGACGACCTGCTATTCAATTGTCTACGACTATGCCAAATTTGGCGCGACTACGCCGCGCTGTTCGGAAACCATCCCGGAAAAACCTTCGGAGGGGGGACCATTTGACCCCCACCCGAGCGTATGTTAATACAATTTCCGGGATGGCATCTCTATCATCGCAAGATGAGATCACTGTGCCTCAGGGCAACTCACTGCTGTATCTCAGAGTTCAATCTTCTCAGAGTGAAACCTGCTCTGCGGGTTTTACTCTTGGAAGCTGAAGTTGTCGGGAGATTTATGTCACACTTGTATGCCAATTTGTGCATTGTATCCAGCAATACGCATGACAAGTGAATGCCACCAATATACTTACCATTGTGCATTTTCCGGCAATGAGTCAACCAACCAATGACAAAACACCGAAGTGCCGGTTAGTATCTCCGAGGCTAGTCATTTATTTAGCGATTTATTTGGTGATTTAGCTAGTGACTACCTACGATCGCATTGAAAACGCATCGCATAGTTAATTATGAAGATAATACAAGATAGTTTATCTGTTTTTTTCTTTCCAAATATTGGGTGTTCTACCAGGTCACTTGAAGACCAAATGAACGGAAACTCAACGACATTCAACAATGCGGGTCAAATTTAGATCTGTCAGCATACAAATTTTGTAATGTGTGACTGACAGTCATATGCTAATCGCTGGTGCATTAAGCGTATTTTGTTTGCATCGGAAATGCTACTCAATCCGGTTAAGCTATACAAAGCTCTTCTGTTAAATCTTCCGCTAGATATTGTTTTTCCTTCGATGCAGTCAATATCCAAAACACACACACACACACACACACACACACACACACACACACACACACACACATATATATATATATATATATATATATATATATATATATATATATATATATGTAAGCATTAACCCCATCAAATGAGCCCCCGTCGAAGATACAGCGGGATGTACTGAACTAGAGACATCCTTTAACTAAGCTTTGTTCAAAACAGAGCGACATCAAAATCTTCTTCGGCGCATAAACTAGCGTCCGTCAAAAGTCATGACCACTTCAGATCAGCCTTCAAGGTAACGAACAAAAGGTTAAATTGCGTAAACCATTTTCAACCAAAAGATGCCAACTTATTTCGGATAGCAATCTTATCCAGGGCATAAGCCTGGGTGCGCCGAAAAGCTCTGAACTTTCGAGATCGATCTTCAAGGCAGGAAGTGAAAATGTGGGTGCTTTATTTCACCCAAAGGTCCCGACCAGCTTGGCAGGCCGACAGAGTCTACTATCAATCCAAACGTCTGTCATGAATCCGAGCATTTAAAGGCCACCAGTTTCTAGGAAAATGTTGGTGAGCTCAATTTCACTGAACGTTTACCTGCCTCATTAGTGTGTCTAAGCGCTAGAATCCTATTCAGGGCAAATTCTAGCGGCCTCGTGGAGATCCAGATCTCTGAAGGACTTCTTAAAGGTTCAGCTGGCAATTCATCTTGAGATGTCACAACTTTTTAACGTACTCAGGTTTGTGCGCCGAAGAAGATGCTGACGCTTCAAAATCCAAAATCGGCTGGAGACCTTGGGTTGACATGAAACAAAGTCATAGTTATTTGACCTTGAATTTTGCCTTCAAGGTTTATCTTGAGAGAGCAGAACTTCACATCATCAACACTCACATCCTATCACACAAGGCTCACGTCCTATCGCACGAGGCTCACGTCTTGTCACACATGGCTCATGCCCTATCACACAGGGCTCACGTGCTATCACACAGGGCTTATGTCCCTGGTCGTGCGCCCCGGCCGAAATTTAACTGGTTTATGCTTGGAGACAGATCAGTTGTTATAATTTTTGCCCATCAAGCTGGATCACTGGAACAGGGCTCTAAACAAATTAAACGATGGTGAAGCGATGTTGAGTTCTGGCACGGCGAAGATAAAAGTGTAGCAGGCAGCTTAGCAGCCACGTGTGGCCGCTGCCACTCTGCGGGACCTGGTAGCTCAGCAGTCACGTGTGACCGCTGCCACTCCGCGGGACCTGGCAGTTTAGCAGCCACGTGTGACCGCTGCCACTCCGCCGGACGCTCACCGTCCCCTGTTTGCTTCCCACGGCTCAGGACTGGCTGTACCGAGGAACCGGATTTTACCACGTAACGGTGCTGCGGAGCTTCAGCAAGCTAAGCTGAATTTAGTTTGGAAGGAAACCGGCGGCGCATTTGGCCGCCAAAAGAG